AAAAAAATTCTGGTAAACCAGCTGCCAGAAATTTTTCTGATTTCTAACAGAATTATTTCTTACAGTAGGTAAACTGATGAACTGATTTCTGTTCGGTCTCGCCCATGGGAAGTGCGATATTCCCCCCTAGGTGCAGGCTGGTTGAGAAGAGAACTTTCGTCTTCTTCAAGCTTACCCTAACCCAAAGATCTGGACAGCCTCTGCGAAGCATGGTGTCAAGCGCTGCAGGGCTCCTTCTGTGTGGGCGAACAGAAGGTTATGAATCATCTGCTCCATGGTCTTCGCGTGGGCCTACACACGAGATTTAAAATATTGACATCGAGACAGTTGGAATTCGAATAGGTGAAACCTTCACAAATATAGCACTCGAATCAGCGAAATTGAAAATAACGTTGAGAGAATACTCTTCGAAACGTTGCCTGAATAAATCAGTAGCTGTTTTCCATAAGTATAAGGTGTTGTTTTTTTAATATACCCGGTTAGTAAATGCCACTAAAAGAATTTGAAAATAACCATACTATATTTGTCGTCCCGGATCTATAAATGAGATTTAAGGCAATCCGGCGGAAGGCCAATAAACATTTTTAGAAATTTTAATAGTCTATATTTGCCGTTTATTCCACAACAATGTGCTTTCAAGCGGTGGGTTGGGTGACCTAGTGGCCTAATGCGCGCGTTTGATATAAGTGGCGTGTTTCGATTCCCAGCTTGTACCTGACAATCCATATCCAACCTTGTGGGTTTTCTCTGCGTCCTGCGGTTTTTCCGACTTGCTAAAGAATCCTACGCGCAAGCGAATTATTGAAATAAAATTGAACCGTATGTTAGTCCCGAAATGACCTAATTTATGTCGAATGGACGTTAAGCCCACCCCTCTCCCTATCTCTCTTTTTCCTCCACATCTCTCGAACTCGAAAAAGTAAATATTTTATATATATGAACAGAATATGCAATTAAATATCTATTTTTAAAACACACCTTGTCATGTTATTAAACTCAATAAGGCGTGACCAAGTCTCGGTGTTCTTAAACTAGATTTATACTGTTTGTTAAACCCCTGAATAGAATTATTGTCAGGGAAGGTTAATAAACATTGTATATACTATAATATACACACACCTATATATAAAGCTACTTCAATAGATACATGCTGTGTTTGATCAATACAATAATTAAATGGTTTGGTTCGTTTAGAATTAGGATCAGTTATTGTAAATAGAGATCGCGTATACTGAAATTAATTTTCTGCAATATCACTATGTGTGATAGGTATAGAAACGTTTGTTTGTTGTTGTTTTGTTTTGATAATAAAACGAACTATATTGTTGCATATGGTTATCAACGTGTTCTTTAAAGTCTCTAACTCAGTATAATCCAAAGTCTTCGATATTGAAAACACGAATTATTTGTCAATTTAAATCAACATTGATGTGATTTTACCGGTAAAAGATAGGCTTCTGATATCCAATATTTAAGACAAAATAAATGAAGATTTTATCATCGGTACACGAATCACGTACCATAATGCGTTTCAACGCCATTTTTAACAAGGGACTCGAAGAACGAGGCTAGACATATTCCACAAGTCATTATTATCTGGGGTGCATGCGCAATAAATAATATCGGTGTAGACTGGAATAACCAGACGTTAGGGTTTGCCGTTTTATTGAGACTTCTGGCGTATTTCATCCAACATAACTGATTTGAAATTAGTGACAACTTTTAGGTCCCAAATATTAGCGATTTAGCTCCTTCAAGCGCATTTGCAGTACCTTGGTTTAAAGTTGTAAGGAACGCAAATAAATGGGTTTCGGTGTCTCAATATCACGTCAAAACAGTGTAATCTAGTCAAAATACAGAAAGACCAACCGCAAATTCATGTAGAAGGTTTTTTGGTACCAGCTTGTAGATGACCTTACCCTGTAGATCATGCTGGAAATCCACCGAAATCCACCGATGCGATGTATTCCCCCGAAAAACTTCGTCCGGAAGCGAATATTGATGTCGTCACTGGTTTTTAACGTCGCCCTCCACCAAGATAAAAATCAACGAATATAATTTATACATCAACATTGACACCTCATCACCCCTTGCACTACAACTACAACCACTACAGCCAGCGCAAACGACAACACTACAACCGTCTCCATACTCAAAGAAAATAAAATTAAATGCATATAATCCCCATCTTATAAAAAAATAATGTAGAGACCTGCACAGAAATTCCCCGTTTCAAACAAAACAGCTTCTAAAATCTCCAAATATTATCTTACAACTTGGAAAACGTGCTTTTTCCAGTGCTGGACCTGAAAACATTCGGGAGAGATAGAAGAGAGACAGATACATGGGATTTTACGCCCACTGGACGCAAACTATAATTCGCTTGAACATAAAAGGTCTTTAACATTGATGAGAGGAAACCAGTCGACCAGGAGAAATGTCACGTATAATCGGGGAATCGAAACCGCGCCACTTGATTCAACGACAGAACTTATGATCTAAAGTGCACGCGTTAACCAATCGCCCCCCCCCCCCCCGGCCCCGCCCCCGCCCCCTTACCCAAAGGCCAATAAAATTAAGTAAATACTAGTATTTGTTACATGGAGAATCACATAAATCGAGAACATTAGCTGATTACTGGGGCATTGGAAGATGAAGGATGTATCGAATTGCCTGTTTCTTGATTTTAATCTGTATTATATATACATGATTTAATTGAGTAGCAATTACATTAACTTTGGCGCCATTGAATTATTAAAATTATAATATATCTAATGATGTATAACAGATGACCGTGTAAAGGTATCTTGTATCATTAATAGAACATGACGTGGTGATCAATCAGGGAAAGTTAAAGATGGATTACGTAAGATTTAAAAAAAGAGCTGACGGTTCTCGCAATAATAGTTTAAAAAATAGATAATGAAAAGGGGATATGTTAAAAGTTATCGACGTTTACAGAACAGTGCAATCTCGACTGTCATTATTAAATTAAATCATAAATCTGTGGAAAGTTTAAACTCTACGAAGTTCTATAGAGTTGGTTATGGGCCTGGCATGTAAATAAATGTCACATAAATGATTTATATAACATTTGAGGTCAAAGGAAATATCTGTAATAGGCAAATTTAGCTTTTAGATAATGCATCTTTTACCAGAATGACATCCTTTATACTAAGTTATCATAAAATCTCAATAAGTTTTACAACATTTAGCATGATTAAAATTTAGCGATAAAATCTCAATACGTTCCACTACTTTTGGCATGATTTAATTTTAGCGATAAACGATTAATGTACATAGAGATGATAACTTCAAGCGGCTCAGTCGCACAAATTAATAACTGCATATTTTGTTTGAAAGAAAGGTATTTATACAGCTACAAAAGAAATTCTGTTCGTATTTTATAAATGCAAGATGATGCTGATTTCATATGACATTCGAATACAAAACCCGATGATATGAATATTATATCGCTTGAATTTATATTGTTGCTATGTATTATTATCTTAAAACATTCGTAGTAAATATCAGTTTGTGTGAATATTTATCGAACTTAGTCAAGGTTTCATCACTTTAACTTAATTAGAACCAAAGTTACCGTGTCCCAAAGTATCAACCAATCAAATTGCTTAAAATCAAAAATCGAGCTCGAAATAATTTTAATGGATCATATCCCATTATTAAACAGACCTACATGCTGAAATATTATAATTTTTGTGAAATTTCATTCTGTTTTTCGGTTTGGTGAATAAACGAACCCAGGACACCTGTAGTAATCGCACGTGGTTTCCTTAGAGTGATAAAAGTGTGACGACATAACCATAGTGTTACGTCATAGTCTCCATGGATATTCTCGGGGGAAATCATCGCATTTATCACGTCGATAACTCTCAAAACCCTAGGTGGATTTCGGTTTATTTTTAGAATGATACATGCAGGGAAAGACGTTCAACAAGTGGGTACCAAAAAACCTTCTAAAGGAATTTGTGTTGGGTTGGCCCCCCAACACTGGCGTATTTTGACTAGACTAGTGCTGTGATACTTCGGTCAATTTATGATCAGAAAACAACAGTACCAAAAACGTCAGAAACATAGCATACCGCTCAAGTTAGACTATGTCTAAGATTAAAAGAATTTAAACCTTTTTGAAATAGGTAATATAGAAAATTAGGTTGATTTGATGAGCGGGCATGCTCTAAAAGATTAAATTTTGTTTCGATATAATAAGCGGAAGTCAGTTTGTTTACTACGTTTTGTTTCATTTTTGGTTTGTGTGTCGACACAGGAAGATACAATCGACTAAATGTGAACCTTAGCTTCATCCCATAACACAGATCCGGCACATAAAATCCAATAAAATTTTGTTTTCATCAAAAATATACACCCAGAAATAAGCATAGTTACTAATGTTTACAAATCTGTTTACCCGAAGAGTCTTTATCTCCGGGAAGCCACGGTGGTTAAGTGTGTAAGACGCTGGCTCGCTAGCCTGGAGGTCGCGGGTTCGCCCCAGGCGTTGGCCGAAAAGGTCATCGGGATTTTCCGGCGTGGTTTCCCCGTGTCAGTGGTGCAAGAAGGATGGCCTGAAAGGGACAGATGTCTAGTCGTTCGGATGGTACAAAAAACCGAGGTCACGTGTACATATTAGCATGCACGTAAAATATCTTTTGGCAGTTGGAATTCAAAATAAGAATAGGCTGCTGTCTTCGCAAAATTTCCCTCATAGCAAACCGTATGGCGTATGCCCGTCTTCATTAGCCCAGTCGGAGCAAAACAGTAGGACGTTAAATCCCATTTCATTTCTTTATCTCCAATTAACCTGGGTGAATGGAAATAACAAGACTTTAGTGTAGTATATAACAGATACACAAATGAGTGAGCTTACATGAATATGGATCCAAGTAAAATAACTCGACAATAACTTCATACATGATTACACTTAATATACTTATTGGTAAATTCTAAACCGTTAGTTTAGTCTTAGTAGACGACGGTGATTGAAGCTATTGGCAGTCTTATTCACTGCCTATTTTTGGACTGAGTTTTGTGGGGTTATACCAGTCCTGATTATTTTCAGTAGTGATAGCTTTGTAAATCGTCGGGTTAATCTTTTGTAACCCTATTTGGAAATATCGATATTGTTTATAGCTTCAACAAATCTCAAGATTTCACAGACATAGGAGTTTGATTATCTCAAGATTTCACAGACATAGGAGTTTGGTCATTTTCGGGGCAGTGGAGTTTTAGTTTGGGCATATCTGGGACAGTGGAGTTTTAATTTCATAATTTGAGAGAGAGCGAAGTTTCATTTGATGATTTCGAATATAAAACGGTGATTTAGTAAACAAAATGTCTTCGTTATAGGCAACATTACCATTGTGTGTTTGGGCCTATTTATGAGAATAAATCTAAACGTTTGTCAATTCAGGATAAACCAGTTAAATTCACCTTCGATTTACAATACCAGTATTGTCAACTTGAGCCAGGAGTTAGTAGCCTATACTAACTATCGTTCGTGATTTACGTATTACATAGCACATTTAGTTTATTGTCTACCTCAATAGCTGTGATTTAAAGAACGGTTGATTTTTGTTCCGTGCCAATTTTAAACCGACAAGATTAGCTGTTTTGTGACGAGTTTTTAGTAGATTTATTTAACCAAAGTTCAACTGAGACCGATTGATTTTATGATTGATGTGAATGGGGGTTCACCAATACTTGTATTATCTGTGATTAGTCAATGTGTAGTGATTTATGTTTACAAAGTGTCAATACCATGAGAAGTTCAGGATTTTACTTGTTTATTTTCCTGTTTTTCATCTCTATAATTAATAGGTAAGTAGGTGTTATTATGGGAAGATTCGCAGTTGCTCAGTGAGTAAGACGATGGCTCGGGGATCACGTGGCTAAGTGGGTAAGACGCTGGCTCGCTAGCTCAGAGGTCGGGAGTTCGATTCCTGCATTGGCCGAGAAAGTTCATCCAGATTTTCCGGCGTGGTTTCCCCTTGTCAGTGATGCAGGGCGGAGGGACTGACAAGGACCGCTGTCTAGTCGTTCGGATGGGACGAAAAACCGAGGTCCCGTGCACACATTGGCGTGCACGTAAAAGATCCCTTGGCAGTTGGAATTCGATATAAGTGTAGGCCGTAGCGCCGCTGCCCGGGCAAAATTTCCCTCATAGCACACTGTATGGCGTATGCCCGTCTTCATTAGCCCAGGTTAGGAGCCGAACAGTAGGACGTTAAACCCCATTTCATTTCATTTCATTTCAAGACGATGACTCGCTAATCAAGAGGTCTTGGGTTCGCTTCAGGTGATGGCCTAGAAAGTTCCTTGGATATCCGGCGCGGGTTCCCTTTGTCAGTGGTGCAGGATGGGGGGCTCGTGTACACACAGGCGTACAAGCAAAATAACCCTTGACCAATTGGAATTTGAAATAAGAGTAGGACGAAGCACTGCTGTCTTGCCAGAATTTCTCTCGTAGCACAGTATGGCGTATGCTCGTCTTTATTATAGAAGCCGTGAATCCACCATGGCCCCAATGAGGGTCTGTAGTGGATGTTCCCCGCGAATTCATCTGATCAGATGGTTCTTTTTACCCTAACTAATCAGCCCTTATCACTTGTTAGCACTTAATGGGTATCTGTGGCCGAAATGTCGGTGACTGGAACATCGACCAACTGTCCGTACATGGACAAATTCTTGATGATATCACATTGTAACGGCCAAGGGAGATAAAAGGAATGGGGTTTAAACTGTAGTTAACGCCAGACGTAGGTTATTTTGAGACCAACATGGAGTTAGTTACCAAAGTCACGTGTACGATAAAGAATTCTGAGTCGATAGCGACATTTCTGCAAACTTCTACAAATTCCAGCGGTTAAGCGAACGCAAATATGCACGCGGGTGGACTTCTATTTCTGTTCAATCTGAGCGACAACTTTGACAAGATGGAACCAGGCTTATAGATTGTCCAATTAATCTTTCTCGTTCAAAGTAACGGCCGACTAAATCAGTACGGCTTATGGTATATTTAGTATTATATTAAAGATACATTATGGGAGATAAGATAAAGAGATGGTAGTTCTCGCTATAATAGTTAAAAACTAGATAGTGTAACGGTAATTTGCTGAAAATTTCAGTCAAATTGATCCACTATGAGCCGAGAAAGAAGCAGGTGAAATTTTTGCATAGTCTCGGTCATCATTACTAAAATCATTTTATAAAGAGCATAGTCTCGATTATCCACTTTTTCTGATTTAATTATCAACGGCCGTTAGCGGCATATAGGAATCTAATCCAGCCAACATCGAAGGCTAGCCTTGACATCGAGAGTTTATTATGGTCTGGATAAGTTAATTATTGTCTAATTGATAATTTAGATAACATTTCAGGCCTAAAGAAAGACTTGTAATAAGCAGATTTTGCTCTTGCATAATGCATGTTTAATTAAATACACGTAAAGTTAGAGATTTACTTGTACATGTATAACTATTGGTCAAAAAGTAAAATATCATTTCATGCCGGGAACTATTATTTTTTACCAGCTTCAATTAAGGTTTATTGATAAATATATTTAATAGTTTTTATATCAATAAATTATCCATAGTGTAAACACCTAATATTCGGTGTTTGTATTTAGTATGTAAATAGTTATTGATTTTATTCATTAGAGTGTAGGTAAATAGTCATCGATTTCTTCGATAGGTTTTATATTCATGTTTTATTTAAATATAAGATGAGGGGTGCCACCTTTTTCAGAGATTTGAATTGTTCATTATGATTGATTAAAACTTGTTCCAAAGTTTCCAGAATTTAAGAGATTTATTATTTACGAATTTATTACGATGATGTTCCTAGACAAGCCAGTGGGTATTCCGGTCTGATGATCTGTTTCCCAAGAGACCGAACAATAAAATGTATCTTTGTCTTCTAATGGAAAAACTACCCAACCGCTTATTTTACAATTGAAGTTATAATTTATTTTTAATTAGCTATGATAAATACTTACGTTTTGGTCTATTCGGTTTGTATGTAAATCGTGCTTGAAATAAAACAATTTAGTATGATTTAATTACGTACGATAAGAACTTACCTGTCTTGGCCTATTTGGTTTGTATATGTAACTATTTAAATATGATACGTGATGTGCATATTTTATTAAAATGACAATACTTCTAAAAACAGATTCTTTGTTTAGATAGTGTCACACCTACAGGTTTATAGACCTGAATTACGTATGTAATAACTTGCATCTATTGTAGATATATAATTATGTAATCCAACACGTTCATTCATGCATTTAATTAACCGATATTGTATTATTTTTTTCAAATACGTGCCATGCTTTACATAAGTGGTGTGGGTGGGTGGGGGGGGGGGTCGACGTGGAGTTGGTGAGTTTTCTCCGGTCCCCCAATTTTCAACCACTGCTAAAGACCTCTACGCACAAGCCAAAGATTGGAATTGTACCATTATGTTAGTCCCGAATCGACGTTACAAAAACAAAAAAGAAAAAGAAAAGAAAAGAAAAGAATCAATAATATTAGGTAAGCACTGTAGTGAAAGGCCAGGTTAATCTTTCTGATATTCCAACGATAAATTGAAATGGCACCATACCTGGAAGTATTGCTTACTTGCCTAGGACCAACTGTTCCGGAAACAGTCACCATACATAGCATCGTTCGTATTTCATTCCTTAAAAAAAATTCCGAAGAGGAGAATCTTTGCCCTAAATGTGGTGCTTCCGCCTACTCCTAGTTGAATTCTACCTACCAAAGGGTATTTTACGTGGACTGTCAATGTGTAGACAGGGTCTCAAATGTTCGTTCCCCCAGAATGACGAGATACACTCTCTTTGCCAACACGACTAGGCCACCCCATCCCAAACCAACGTGAAACGAATTTGAAACATCTCAAGATCAAAGAAGACAATTCCATCCTCGTTTTGAGGTATATCTTTTTGAAGAAAATTTGGCAATAAATTGTAAAGTGACATAATTATTAATTAATGTCTTTGCACTTAGTAATTTGCGTTCCCAAACAATCCTTGTCTTTTTCTCCCGATAATTTATAAATTAATATGCACAATTTTAAAGATGTACCATTTATACCCCCTACAGAAAGTGAATAAATAAATAAAAATTATTGAATAAGAGCAGTCTTGAAGTCGGACAATCTTAACAAAAATATTTATATGCACCGGCACATAGAAATTAAACCCACTTTTTAAAGCACAGATTTCATAAAAAAAAAGCATAACATTAACATATAACAAAGATAAATATTAGTTATAATGGGTCAACTTTAAAGTAAGTAGCAGATAATTTTCTTTTCTTTTTTTATGATTATAAAACAGACAATAGGGCTTTTGCTTACAATTTATATTGACCATTTATATTGATCATTTAAAGAAGCTCTCTTCCGTTTCAAGGGGCTTGGGTGGCGAAATGGTTAACGCGTGTTGCATCATTTGGTCTGTCATTGAATCATGTGGCGTGGTTTCGATCACCCACTTGTGCGTGACAAGGAGCGCGGGTCGTCTTCCCAACCGCACGGGTTTTCTCTGGGTCCTCCGGTTTCCTCCCATTGCTAAAGATCGCTATACGCGCAGGCGAATTAGTGAAATAAAATTCAACCATCTGTTAGCCCCGAAATAACCTAGTATGTGTGAGTGGATGTTAAACCTCGCTTGCCCGTAGGTGCTTTTTTAGCAGTGGGAAGATATCAAAAATTATATAGATACGAAAAATTCCCATAAAATAGCACATTCTGAATTTCAAGCAGAGTTGGCCTTTTCTCTCACTTGACTGTGATTGCTGAAAATATTTCTATTGATTTTATATATCACTTTTTATTTTAAATTTATATAAAGTAACATAACATTCTTTAGATTAGCTATGGTGTAAATAACGGCTAATTCTCTTTTTTGTTTCTATATGGCGATTCAGTGGGACGAAAAACCGAGGTCCCGCGTACACGCTGGGGTGTCTGTTACTGTTTCACAACCTTTAACATTGGAATCCCGTGTACACGTTGACATGTACGGAACACAGAGCACTTAGCATTAGAATTTAACGATAAGTGGGCGGAAACGCAACTGTCAGGCAACTTTACCTCACTGCACATGACATGACGTATAGTATGTCCGTCTTCATTAATCTGGTTGGTGCAAGACAGAATAGTACTTAGACTACGTTATACCCTATTTCATTCCATTTCCTTTAAATCACTGATGCTCAGTGTCGATCTCATCGCTTTAAATTTCCCTGATGGTACTTACTACTTATAGTCATTAAATATATTGATTACATTCTGAGACATGTGTTATTATATATGACTTATCTATCTCAAGCATAGCACTGATTGTTGACCTTCAAAGATCAATCTTCTTTTCTTAAATCAATATCTTCCATTCCTTGTTAACCTAAATCGGATTGTTTTCTTCATTTTTCTTCGATTTTCAAGGTAATGCCGTTTTAATCCAGTCTCGTAGTATATATTCAATGTACATGATTTTTGGTAATCACATCATAAATTTTGTAGACATAACGCAGACTACGTTATTGACAAATCAGCAGATATTAAAATATAATCTGTGACCGGTCTGGCCCTTAATAAAATTCTTATTTGTGACCGAATTTGAATGTGGTCGTACGTTTCATTGTGTTTCCTAAACCATAACATATTTTGTTGGCGTGCTTCAAACCATTTTGAGGCCACAAAACGGAAGGCAAAGAGTTAGAGAAATCGAAGGACTTTCACCGATTCCATTCTACTTCTACCATCCTTGTATATATTCCTCAGATAAGACTTTGATGCGCCATCAGAACTTA